CTAAATGATAGACAACGAATAAAAAAAGAAATCGCGGACAGACGTAAGCTTACGGTTAAGTGTTGTATGAGGGACGGGCTCCTAAAAGGCACAACCCAGGCAGAAGTCGTGTGAACGCTTCCCTTTGGTCTGTAGTATGGATCCGTAGAGGACAATCACAAATGTGGCACGGAAACCAACCGACAAGAGCGCTGAGGGCCTTGCAAAGTAAGCTGCTGAAGCTGCAGAGTTTTTTCCCTTATCAGAATGTTGTCTGAAGAGACTTGAAGCCTGTATCGCTGCCAAAGGAGGCCATTTCGAGCACTTCTTTCAGTAATGAATTGCTATGTTTATTGTATATAAAAATAAACTTCTGAAGATGTAATAGCTTCTCTTTTTGAAAAATATGGTCAATAAACCATGCGCCAATATTTAGTAGCCACCCTGTAGAGAAATGGTTGACTACGGGCGTGTTGCCAACCTTCCCCTCTGGGAAGGGGAAGAAAAATCCACTGAACTTTTTTGTTGTGTTTCACCTAGGATGGCTAAGAGAAATGAGGGCTTTTTAAGCTTCGTTCAATAATTTCTCTGTATGTGCAAATTACCCAAATGTGGCGTTCTCATTAAAAAGAAAAACTATGCACACATGACATTTAAAAATTTAAAAGCCGGAAGATCCTTAAGAAACTTGCCATTCCCTCTCTGACCCGCTTCGAACATTGAAACAAAGCGGTTTCGTTCGCGTGTTTACAAGCACCCTTCTCGAATTCATTCTCATGTTCCGGTTTGACACGTTTATCCCTTTAGCCATTCTTGCTCCGAAATTAGGTCAAAGCGACCAATTAGCCGAACGCCCTTTTCCCTTTCACGGCTGTAGAAAGATATTGTCGAATTCCGTGTGTGGCAAGAATGTGCCATTGGAGGGCTAGGCAAGAGCAATTTGATAAAATCCAAGCAGTCTCTCAGATCCTTGATAGTCGAGTCGAAGCAGGAAGAAACATTTATTGACACCTATTTGTTCGATACAGGCCCAGGCAAGACATCCTTTCAAATTGGAGATTCTTCTTCCTTTCTCCTTCCCTGAATTTTCTCACGTTAATTCAATGAATAAGCTCTTCCATTCTGCGATAAAGTCAACGAATTTCTTAATCTGCATCCCAAAGTGGCTATACTTTTGGAAACAAAGAACTATTATAAGCCGTAGGTGGTGTGATAGAAACTGGTTCCGCTCACCGTGCACGGCTTGAGAGTGAAATTCCAGGCCAAATATTTTACAAGACAAACCAACCGTAATAACTTTCTGCGATATTAGACTCGAATATAGGTATTGATGGTTGATTCCCATAGTCAGTTTGTAGAAAATCAGTTCAAACGCGAGTACAATTCTGAATGGAGCTAGAGGTGCGTGGCGCATCCATGAAAGACTTAACACGGTCATTCTTTATGCGTTCCTAACCTTTGTTCAGGACCTGATTTGTCCGTCGTCATCTTTTTAAGTTCAGGTTACAGCTGAAAAGGTACCAAGGTTAACATTAAATTCTATCATTCCTTTCCTTTGATGTCTAGCTGGTAAGTACTGCGTTTTTTTCTGCCCTAGTCTGTTTTATTCGCCCCACTGTACCGTCGGGCTGTAGAGAAACGCCTGGGGGTATGTTTTACTCCAAAATATGATTATTTCTGTGCACTTTCCTGTTGTTTTTTGATCTGGTCTCATCTGAGCATTTCTACTTTCTTCGTAACAAACAAATACAAAAATAAAAATGGAAACAAACAACGAGTTTCTTTTCGCTCCGTAATAACTTCGTGGTTGCTCACCACATTTGCAAAAGAGGGTTACGGTAGGATACTGTAGCTTATACTCTGATAAGATATTGTTCAAGCCGACGAGACTAATAACAATTCCCGTTCATTTCTAGTTGTTCATTCACGTGAGCCAACGGCAATTTTCTGAGGTTTCCAGTTGATTTTTACGAACTCCGTTGATTTTTGCCTTCTACCTTTACTCCATTACTTTTAGGAAAAATGTCAACCTCATCGTCAGTTCCTAAGCCTGAAATAACACGTGATGCCATCATCTGCGACTGGAAGGTAAAGATTATTTCATGTTGCAAAGGTAGATTTTGCTACGTTGCCGGTCCCGTCGGTGGCCCAACCTCCATTCCCCTTCTTTCCTTTCCCACTCACAGCGCTTTCAATGGCCCCTCGAAAAAATTTCCCACGAAATCGGAAGTGCTCGTAAACAGGGAGTGTGCGCGGATTTGGGAGACAGCACGAATAGTAGCACGTTGATGTGGGCAATAATTCAGGATCTCACATAACAGAAAAGAAATTCGAAGAGGGGGGATGGATGGAAGGGGAATGGGGGAGGGTATGGCAGATTCAGGGGTGGGGTTGGAGTGAGGGTAGCCAACCATCGAGCGACAAGGTTTGAAGTGTGCGACAGGTATGCCTTTCGCTTCGGTGTCGCTAGTATCGTAATCATCAGAGGCCAACGAGAGTTTACCTAAGTTAAGCGTGCTTCAATTAAAGGATACGCAGTAAATCCGGTACGTTTACAGGTATTCGCAAAATAGGTCTGGGAGGCCTGGTGCTGTGTACGAAGTGGAGAAGGATGGAGTACGTGGAGCGCTGAAAACCGAATTTGTCGATCAGACCGGTGAACGGAGTGAAACACTCAGAAATGAAGTAAGGCTTTCTGAGTGCGGCAGCGTTCAGAGTTGGCGATCGTGCATGCCATTAGGCGAGTTAGGCGGTAATTTGAAAAGGAAGTGTACGTATTGATCAGGCGAATAGCGAGTAGGCGATAAGAGAAGGATAAGTATCGATTCATTGCTCCGCCCATTGAGCGATCGCCTAACCGCCCACATGCCTACTCACGTTATCTCCTCATCGATACGTATCCATTCCTTATAGACTAACTGTCTAGTGCCTCGATCCGCTGAATATGTTTAGTCTATAAGGAATGGATACACCGGTATCTCGGAGTGAGGACAACTCTGAATAAACGGTGAGTAGGTGTTAGTACATTGATTAGCGCGCGTCTACTTTGTTCCAAAGTTATGGGCAGTTTCTCTTTCACTCAAGGAAGCGGGCAACAGACAGCCAGCGGAACGCAGGCCGTAATTCCCCATACGAATTTGGACAGCCGGTTGAGGACAGGTAATGTGTGTATAGATTGGGGTAAGGTGCGTGCAGTGCGGATGTACCAGAAGTGTCGCGTCAGTTTTGCGGCTTGAAAGTGCGCGATAGAGGCGCTAGAGGCTTGCTTGATCTGTAATCCACTCAACAACACAAAAAAGGACGAAAACGCAACAATGTGACAGATTTGGGTCATCTGTATTACGCGTTAGCATTGTGGCAGCAACACATAAATTACGTCAAGAATCTACTTTTGTTATTCTTATGTACACTGGATTTAGTTCTAGGAAAGGTAGTAGAAACTCCCACGTGCGTCAACAGCTTTCAGTTCCGCGTCGTTTGGGGCAACACTTAAAGATGAGTGAGCCAGTTTACAGCACTTATTGGAATAACCTGAGGATGGGAAGAGGTTATGGGTGTTGATGTGTGGGAGCGAATTCTGTCTGGCGTGGAGCATGACGTCTCCTATCTTTATGTCATGGTGCCACACAGTGCGGCTTCTAAATACCCATCGTCTTGAAACCGTTTTTCTCCCACAAAGCATTAGCGCCAATATAGGTCCTACCCACGTCTTTTGTGCAGTCAGGGTGCCCCTGTCTTTCTAGCGCAAGATACTATATTAAAACAGCGTTATCATAAAGTTAAACCGACGTCATCCATCTTCGCTTGAGGAATGCTTTAAACCTTTTGTTCAGACATGTGTCGCTCTAGAAATGAAGAAATAACGGCTCGAAAGGATCACAGTCCACAGATAGTGATCGATTCAGGTGATGCAGCTCCGCGTAATGCAATGGTCGGCCCACTTCTGTCGGCTATACTTGGCATGTCGTGTTCGATGCGGCAAGGAGATCGTCAACATCATGATCATGAGCCTCGTAGAGAGACCATTGTCACGGTAAGATGGAGTCGTACAATAGACTGTAGCTTATTTGGCAGTTCTCATGGACATGGCCTTGTATAGGGATGAGGCTTGCTATTGGGTTGTCTCATAATTACCTGTCGCAATTTCGACACTTTTGTTTATTCAAGTTTTATCTCTTCTGGGAAACAACTGACTAATAGCATAACCACCATCATGGTCACTGATATGCGTGCATTTACTAGTGGGCGTTTGGAAGCTTCCAGCCCAGAATGAAGGAAACTGGGGGTTGAAGAATATGGAGAAGTCGTTTTTGGGGTGACCGCAATCTTTAACTTTCTTCTCTGGCAGATGCTTATTCAAAGCGCAGGGGAGGCGATAGTCCGATAGAGCGATGCCAATGCTATATGGTGGATGAGGTATCGTGGCCCTGGCTATCTCCCTCAGAACGTGGTGAGTTGGCATTGCAATGTGAGGTCTGGCGTACATTCGGAGAAAGGAGAATCTGAGACGTTTCTGACGATTCCCTCGCAACCCCGAAGCCAGCCTAAGAGGGCTATTCCGCGCTGACTTTAGCAATGCTTGTCTTCATACATTGAAGTGGTTCCCAAACCAGGCCACCTAGCGAATCCAACAAAACGAGAGCGATATTCTCAGAAAACGGAGTTCGGGCTTTGGTTGAGCTGGTGCTTCCTGGCTGCGAGGCAGCCATAAGTGCCATGTGTGTTGTCGCAGTGGACTCATGACTCATTTCCACCGGTGACCGATTAGGGAAGACTCTGCTTTTGCCATCCAAGAATGGGTTTTCCCCAGGTGATCAGGCGTGCTTCCCGCTCATGGTCGGCCGGACCATAAGGTTTCCATCAAAACTTCACTCTGCAGCAGTCCTTGCCATACTGATGGCGTGTGCTGGTGCATCGGCTGCGCTCAGGTATCTGCTACAATACCCTGGTAGCAACGTGCGGAGGCACTCCCAATTTAGGGTGCAAGGGGCGCTCATCAAAAATGACCGCAGGCCCAGTATGAGGTTGAAGTTCATAGCTCGTTTCGTCTTTGCCGTTGCGATTGGTCCACTAGCTCAGTACCCTATCAGTAGCAGAGACTGAGTCAAACACAGCGCTGATCTTCTCTGTTGTCCTCCTTGCTACAGAGTTCATTTGAGGATCGTAAAGCATAATCATTGATTGCAGTCACTGACCTATTTTTATTACTAGTTGATTAACCCGTTAAGGGCTTGCGCTTCCGAAACCACGCTGTTAAGGCACTTGAAGCATACTTCAACATACTAACGTATTTCGCAATGAAACGGTCTTAGACGGAAGGAATTTGAAATTGAATAGAAATGCGACAGGAATTATGAGACAACCCAAATAACAAATGGGCTAAGCGGTGGTATGTGAATCGCATAAATCAATTCATTATGATTCTAAACGGATTTTCTGGGAGAGGAGTAGGCAAACCATTCTTAGGGCGTTTCCATGCGTGGCGGGAGGGACATACAAGTGAAGTGACAGGGCGTCAGGGTGACTGATGTTTCCATAATCAATCCTCACAATCAGATGTATTATGGTCTTGAAAGGCGCCAAAAATACAATCAAAAGCAAGAGGAAACTCTTTTGGTCCTTCGGAAGCTTCACTTGTAATCCAATGTTTCTTCAGTCTCCGTCGTATGACACCCGAATCTCGTTTCACTCGTTCGACAGCGGTGAGGTTATCGCGCCAATGTCTTGAGGTGAGAGTTCAGACAATCAGTTTCCAGAGATGTGTATGTAGACATGAAGGAGTGGGAGGGGCGTAAAAAAAGTTGGAAATATGGGGAGAACCGAAATTAGCTTTCCTTGAGGAAATGTAGCACTGCCAGCGTTCCATAAAGAGGAAACTAAGTTCCAAAAAGGGCAGGGGAGTTGCTCAGAGAGGAGCGAGATGAAAAAATAATAAGGAACGGGTTTCTAGTACTGAATTATGCGCTACTGCTTAAACTTCAGGCAATTCACGATCTCCATCGTTACGTATTTCTTTGCACCGAGACATCAAAGCCAGTAATTTTGCCTGGTCTGCAGAGCGCATCGTCTACCTGCTCGATCTGGGCTTCTGTAGGAGATTTGTAAGTTTACGTCCCCAGTTTGGGAAGTTGACGTTTTTCTTACGACTGCCACCAGGCCCATCTCTTCTTCCTATGAGATTAGTGCTGTGGTACCAACGAGTGGTCACTTCAGCTTATGAGTTGAATCAATAGCTTCTCAAATCTTCCCTAACTTCCAGATTCCAAAATCATTAATTTGTGAATGAGAGATTTTTTCCTCATGCTCAATAACGACCCACTTGCAGTTGGCATTCACTGAGCAGGAAGAAGTGAAGCATCGTGCTCCAAGGAAGAAGGTAGCCTTCCTCGGCACTAGCAAATACTGCTCACCCAACATGCACAAAAAGTTGGATCAGGGCCGAAGGGACGACCTCTGGGCGTGGTTGTACATGACTGTTGAGTTCATGGCGGTAAGTATAGATCAAGTAAAAGCATCTCTTAGAAAAGAACGAGATCCGGGCTCAAATCCCGGTCGAGACAAGGGGATCAACACATAACATTAGCCTTGTTTCATAAAAACTAAGCGTCCGTCGTTCAAGGGTAAACTCATTTGGCGCAATGATGAAGATAAAGTGATTGAGAAGAAGAAGGAGAAAATCGGTTCCAAATTGCTGGCAAAATGCCCACAAGAAATGTACATGGTGTACGATCATATTCGAAGTCCTTGAATTCGATTCAAAACCGAATTACCCAATGCTGAGAAGGCAGCTGGACAGGGTGGGTCGTCCATAAGTACTGTGTAGGGTCATCAGTCACTTCTAACGGTATCTTTGATGCATTCAGGTGTGTGCTCGACTTGATTATCACGAAGATCAGCCGTATGATTGGGAGCAAGGCGGCTATTACTACGAGTACTACACTAAAAAGTCCGACACTGAAAAAGATCTAACGGAAAATGATGTGAAAGTGTAAGACTACCAATTCCAGTCTATCAGTGAGCCTTAGAGGGCCATTCTAGGCTACGCCAGTACCAGTTTTGCCCAACGGCTTTCGCTAGGACCTCTCTTCCCCGTGTATGCCTTACGTCTTCCACGGTTGTGAGGTCACCCCCTCGTGGGGGCGATGCATCGAATGGGTGTAGAAAAGGGTAGGATTCTAAAATATGCTACATTATGGATCGGAAAATTACATTTTTAGTCTAATTATTGCTTTGTGCTTCGCGCGGATATCCACTAGATCTGTTCCCAATAAGCTCACTCTGAAAAGCATACCTGCCATGAAACTCCCAATACCACGCATCGGAAACCGTAAGCCGGAAGAGAATGTGTTTCCCTTGGAGGTACTATCCAAAATTCGGTACTCCAGCTTCTATTCGGCACTGATGGTGAGTCTTCGAGATGCATCAAACTTCAACGTAACAGGTGCCAACGAAACCTCGGCATTCGTCTTGATTCTGGTTTTTCTCACGAGCCAGCAAAATTGTTAGGTGGGAAGGTGGCCCGTGACTAGCTTCGCCAGTTCAACAAAAATGCCAGGTCAAGACAAGGATCTATGTCCTTCCACCTAATCCTTCATCCCAGCAGCCACTTGCAGGCTATAATCTCGTAACTCATGGTTTGGATGATAACCACGACGGGTTTGTGATGTTGGAGTTATAATATTGTTGGAATTGTGGGACTGAGTTGGAGCGACCTCGTTTCTCATCCCGTAATTCGCCCATAATCCCAACAGCTTATACTTGGGACTAGAAAAGATGCTTTTGTGTGGTTAAAGGTACATAGTTTGCACCACATCTGTATCAAAAGTTATAATTAGGTCTCGTTAAGGTATAGATGATATTGCCGTTTCCAGGACAAAAATGGAACCAATGGAGAATTGTGGCCAAATCTTCGAGAAAATCACCGTTTCCAACTGAACCAAAGGACACTCTTCACTATCAGTCAACAGTAGCAACTAGGCCTAAATAAAGATTATATTTTTAGCTCTTTTATCTAGCTTTTCTGAATTTAAAAGCATGCCTACACCATGAACTCATGAGGTGATTAGGGTGAATTGTATACGACAGCCATACTCGGGGCCGTTAACGTTCCTGTACGCGTGAGCTGTTCAGCCCCTGAGGAAAGGGTGGAGGGGGGCGGGAGGAAATGGGCGGCGGAGCACACCAACTTCTGTTGACCTATTTGAGCGAATCTTGAAATTCTGGACAAAGGCACCTCCATGCGCTTGCCGTACAAAAACGTGTCCCCGGAATCAAAGGCTGCAAAAAGTAGAGACGGACATGCGGAAAAACAAACGACCAAACATTGCTTAATTTAGATTGCGGAAATTTGGGGTTCGAGTGGGTATAGATGAGGTTCGCGCAAAATATCGTTCTAAATGGAATCATTGTGACTCCTGCGAGTACTGAAATTAAGACAAACGCATATCTATCGAACTGCACTGAAACGTCATCGCATTTCAGTTTTCAACGGCTGATTTCAAATATGTAGAGCATTTTGAATTTGTTAAGTTCTACAGCGGTAGAATCGAGAAAGAAGACGTCGATTTTATATGAGCTCATTTTCGTACCCTTTGCTTCAGAAAACCAGAAACACGTCGGGTGCAGAACACACATCACAAGTGACGACGGCCTCCAAGTAAATCTGGAACTAGTGGTTCATAGTGATAGCTGATTGGTAAGTTGTAATTAGTGACAACTGATAGAATACAACTGCAACAGGCTAATCATTTCATTGGCAGAAAACATTTGTGGAGGCCGTCGTCACTTGTGGTGTGTGGTCTGCACTCGACGCTTTCTCGTTTTTTGAAGCAGAGTATATGTGCTGTAGTAATATCCGAACTCGCTGGCGACATGTATGTAACACTTTCATTTTCAGTTCATTTTAAACCTTTTCAGTACCAAACCGGACGCCTAGGAGCACGATAGCCTCCACCAACCACGTCTGTGCATTATGGTTAGAGCCATAGTATCAGTCTGCATAGAAGTAGATTCTATTTTAAATTTCTACTAAGGGAGTCGCATTCTATGGTTTTAAGAGGCGTCGTATTTGGTGATATGAGGTCGCCCTGATGGATGACATGAGAACATAGTCTTTTTGAGATGTTGGATATTCCATATGAACTGAAGAAATTACAGAACTACTGAAAATTTTGCCCTTACCTTCTCTATAGCCACCTGAATCCCACCTCTTAACTCTCGACTCTTACCGCTCTTCTTACCTTACTCCTTACCGCTCGACGCCCGCATTGCCGACGAAGTTTCCAGTGTTCCCTGTGTTCACGTGGTGGCAGGATCAAACCCTGTAGAAAGAGGTTGAGTGAATGGGAAGTGATGTGGGGGTCTCTCCTTGAAAAGGGGATTGTCCAGTTCATCATTTTCTCTCTACGCGACGGTCTATCATGGCCAAATTTGCTGCTAAGCCTGTCTTGCCATGGGTAGGATAGCTTATCAGCCCATTATCAGAAGTAAAACGTAACGAGTCAGTTAGCTTACCTAGGCAGTCAGCCGTGATCCTGAGAGCTCCGCCAAGTGCTGCAGTTTCTAGTTCATTTGCACGGGTTCGAGTTTCTTCCAAGCCCAAACCTTTTGCTCACAAACCAGCACCTTTATGAGACCAAAAAGCTATATTGCTTGCTTAAATCCATTCCCAAGCTTGAAATATGTTTCGGTCAATACTGTTCGTATGAATACATATACAAACAAACTCTACAGCTGATTTCGCAGTATACTACAATGGGCATTAGCTGCGGGCACGTGCGCCTGCTCAAACGATTACGGTAGGCTGGAGTTGCCGCAATA